CCACCTCCCGAAGTCTGGTAGAGGCTAGGTATTTATCCCAAAACTATGAATTCATATGTAAACTAGAGTCCCACGATCTCATACCTTCGCCAAATGATGTTAGCCTTTATGACTAAGAAATTATAGATTAAATCCCGATGGTGCAAATAGGATCCCCAATTGCATGAATCATATATGTTGATCATATTCTACATCAAAAGAGTCTTATCATAACAAAGAATGCCATTATAGTATTTCCTTAAAAAATGCAAATGAGGTTCTTATTTGAATAGTTATGTTTAATGATGTTCACCTTCACTTAACTTTTAAATGACATTATTTAGTATGTATGAAATTCCAGAGTTACCACAATGGAATTATATGATTTTACCATTAATTATGCAAATGAAGTCTTAATTTGCATATTTAATATCTGTCTCTCATTCTTAACTACGTCACAAGCTTGAATTGTCCTATCATGGAATGAAGCTGATTTATAGAATTTCCTCATTAATTATGCAAATTAATCCATATTTGCATAATTGTAATATTATTATGTCAAGCATCAAGTAAGCTACCTATATACCAAAAATGACGACGATTCATTAATTGGTTTTTTAGTTATCCTCCTTTAAACATTTTTTGAAAAACGCCCATGCAGATCCAGAGCAAGCAGCCAGGGGGCTCAAACTCATTTCATCCCCAGCACAAGAGCTATCTACCATGTAAATTTCGTGGCCCTAACAAGTATAGATCACGAGATACCAAAACCGGAAGTTCAGCTGCAGTACCATGGCAAGCTGCCAGGGGGCCCAAAATTGAATCATGTTAAGGTCTTATCAAGACCTACCCACCTACCAAATACCAAGACAATCCATTTTATCGTGTTTACAAACACAAAAATACACACACACAAACGCCCATAAAAACACAACCTTCTTGGGGAAGGTAACAAGAAGACAAATGTTGGACAGATCATATTCAGTTCATCATATTCTCGACCCAATGGTCTTTGATTTTTATGAAATTAACAGAAAAATCATTATTTTCATGCCAAAATTAATGCACAAAATTGGGAATTTTCGCATAGGATAAACTAAGAGAAAAATAATTTTCCGGCAGAAACTACTGGTGTTGGCAGAAAGATGCTTGATTCAACTAGAGTCCCACGATCTCATACCTTCGCCAAATGATGTTAATCTTTTATGACTGACAAAGATGATTTTTTTTTTCTTTTATTTACTTCAGAATTCACCTCAAAACAAGGCTCGTGAGAGCCACTTACGTGTTTTGGGTTACAGTGATGACTGCGTGGTCAGATATTTGTTCACCCTTGATTTAAACCGTTGGAGGTTGTAATTAGCGGTGAAACATTCACGGGGAAGCTTGTTCCACAGTGAAGTGGTTCTGGGGAAGAAACTGTCAGCATGAAATTTTCTCTTGACTGATGGACTATTGAGGAAGAAAGGGTGATTTTCTGCTGTTGAGGTGGCTAAGCGTGTTCTTGCAGAGAATGTTCTGAGTGGGGGTACGAGGGAGTGAAGTTCCAAGATTCCTTCTGATTATGCAAATAAAATCCTTATTTGTATTATATTTATATTATTGTATTATATTATAATATTGTATTATACAGTTGATCATATTCTCCATCAAAAGACAGCCTTATCTTAACAAAGAAAGCCATTCTATATCATTTCCTCATAAATTATGCAAATGAGGTCCTTATTTGAATAAGTTATGTTTAATGTTGTTCACCTTCACTTAACTTTCAAATACCCCAAGTATGAAATTCCAGGCAGTTAGCATTATGGAATTATAACATTTTCTCATTAATTATGCAAATTAGGTGTTAATTTACATAATAAATATCTGCCTGTGTTTCTCTCGTTCTCAATTACATATGTCACAAGCTTGAATAGTCCTATAATGTAATGCACCTGATTTATAGAATTTCGCCATTAATTATGCAAATTAGATCCAGATTTGCATAATTGTCGCATAATTATGTCAAGCGTCACTTGAGCTACCTACATACCAAAAATCACGACGATAGGTCCACCAGTTCTTGAGTTATCCTCTTTTGAATATTTTCAAATAGATAGCCATGCAGTTCCTGAGCAAGCCGCTAGGGGGCCCAAACTCACGTCACTTCTTCCCCAGCACGAGAGCTACCTACCATCCAAATTTTGCCACCCCAGCATGTCTAGATCATGAGATATCAAAACCGGAAGTTCAGCTGCAGTACCATGACAAGCCGCCAGGGGGCCCAAAATCTAATCATTTTGAGCTCTCATCAAGACCTACCCACCTACCAAATATCAAGATAATCCATCTAAGCTTTCTCGAGTTATGCTGTTGACAGACACACACACACACACACACGGCCAGGAAAACATAACCTTCTCCAATTCTTGGCGAAGGTAATTATAAAGCCACCCTAAGTGGAGAATCTGGGTCACATGGGCGGATTACGCTTGGGGCACAAAGATACCCGGAAGTAAGTATCCAGGCCGAAATCAATCTTCACCCAAAAAACACCACTTCTTATACTTTTCAGCCATTCTAGTATCTAATATCATTTCAAAGCAGATAAAGCAAATATGGGAGAGATTCCGAGCAGGTCCAGATAGAAATTTACAATACACTGTACTAGTAATTCACAATGAAAGTTCATCTGTGTTGGTAGTTCCATGTTTAAAGTTAAAACTTGGTCCAACACAAAAAATTCTCTCACCTAGAGCTTTCGACCAGTCACTCTGGTCTTCCTCAGTAGACTGACCCAGTGAAGCTTGTCACGTGGCTTCTTTGAAGTGTGACGTCAACAATGGGTCAAAGGTATCTGGTAGACGATGTCGCCCCCGTCACGGTTCAATGAAGTATGATGGGCCCTGAGGAAGACCAGAGTGATTGGTCGAAAGCTCTAGGTGAGAGAATTTTTTGTGTTGGACCAAAAGTTTTAACTTTAAACAAATAATTCCTGGTTTTCTATAGAACACAGAGGCCCCACCGTGTCAAAAGCTGGTTATCTGGCCATAATGACCACTTTTAAAGAAGCCAACCACTTGTCCAACGTGACTGAAACTATTTAACCCCTGGGTAGTCTTTGACAAGTTTGTGTATCTGATTATTCTGCATGATGAAGGGTAAATAAGTTAGTGGTTGCCTTTGTATGTTGGCCTTTGGACTTATTTGTTTGAATTTTGGTGCTTGGTTCAGGTCTGGAAGAAGCATGGAGATTTGGGGCGTTTTGGCAGTATGTTCAGGTAAGGCCACACCAATTTACTTTTTTGGTTCTTGTCCTTGTTCAAAGAAAACATGAAGCGACAGGGAAAAAAACATGCATATGATAGCCCCAGATGCTATGATAGGAGCCATGAAGTCAACATACCAAGCTGGTTTGTAATTCAGACACTGAGTTTTAAACTTTAAATCAAACCACTACATTGACAGAAGGAAAAACCAGAAGAAGTAGAAAGAAAAGGACTTTCTTTACCTGTTGGACCAAAATATTTAGAGGTGAATCACAACCTGAATTTTTTTTCACAAATCAGAAAAAAATGAAGTGGGCAAGTCTGAGATCCAATGGATTAGATTGGTCTGGCCTAAAGCAGTAAAATAACCCCTGTGCTGTGTGTGATGTGGTATCGTCTATTATCAACAGCTGTTGTGTAAATTGAAGTTATTTACCTTGTGGCGCCAGCTGAGGTCTGACCAATGGGCCATACCACACTACCTTCAGGAAAGGGTTTTTTTAGCCTACATTGTGTAGTATTATCATAAATGAGTGTCAATTCAAACGTCTACAATTTATCCTAATTTCTCTCTTAACTTACAAAGAAAAAACTACTCTTCTTTTCACTACCAAAAACCCACAAATTTTGGAAAAGGTGGGACATTACGTCTTCCATGGCTTACATGTTCAAGAAGTCAAAACATTCAGACATAGTTTTAGACATAGTTTCAGACAATTACCTTTTATTATGTAGATTTGGAAGTTATTTTGTACTCTGTTTCAATGTTCTTTTGTTTCCATTATTTGCAATTAGACCTCGGGCAGGAATTTGAAATAAACTTATTATTATAATGATTGTGACATCACCAACCTTTTTCATGTACATGTAGCATTACTGTTAACACATGTTGTTAATGACTGTGATGTCAGTAATTGTCACTAGTCTTTGTGATCATCATGCATTACTAGTATATACTTCTTGGAGGTTTGGAATCTCTGATTTCTTGTTTCAGGTTTATTTTGTTCACTTGAAATATTTTTATCTGACAATTGACATGGCTAAATTACAATTCACTCTTTTTCAGAGTTCTAGCTTTGTTCCAGCACAAGAAAATGTAAACACATTTAAAAACTGTTGTCATTAGGCACTTAACTGATTAGCGCTAACCTTATTGTTCCTATTTATCAATGTACATAGTCTAAAAACACAAGAAACACTACGGTAACCTAAAACAGGTAGGTTGTAAGACGGATATGGGGGGCCCCGCAAGCCCTTTTCCGTAGAGCGTAATCGGCCGTTTTAATTCTACGTAGAGCGTAGACGGACCGCTCTAACATTTTTGCGTAGAGCATATTCGCCATTTTCATTCTACGTAATGTAAAGCGTAATCAAGAGGTTTCCAAATTCAGCGTAGAGTGTTGTCAGGACCCCCCTTGCAGGCCCTCATATGGATTCTCCCATATCATGCTACGTTATCACGTAACTATGCAACTCCAGCTGTACTAGGCCTGAAACTTGAACAGGTTTGATAAGGTCAAACTGATTTAATTTCATGGATGACATCTCTGTGCACATTGATTTTCGCCTATTCTCAAAAAATGCCATCCACCATAATGGAGGAACTGTGCGGAACTCCAGAACTCTGTACAGTGCTGACAAAAAGTGCCACAAAACGCCAGGATGTTCCAGCTTGTCATTAAAGTCACTATCTATTACATGTACCACAAATTCACATCCACAGTACCAGCTTTATATTCCTGTGGTTTAGCAGCATTTTTCTGCCTGGAATTTTTTTATTCGCCCACGTGCACTAGTTTAGGGGTCTTCAGATCTGTCATCCATAAAATTAAGTCGGTGTGGCCTAATTCTAAATAAATTTGGTCCTTTTCTTAGCTTTTGCATCCTTGAAAGAGCTATTAACAGTCCTGACCAAACTGCATAAGACATGTATAACACAGGATTAGAGCAGGACTGGGAGTACTAGCATGGATTATTGTCCAAAATATTACTGCATACATGTAGTACTTCTCTGCCTTGTGATGGACTCAAATACAGTGAAGTCCACTGTTCTGTTGGTACTGCTGGTAGAATCTAATCATCTCTGGTCCGATCCTGGCACAGACTGCCTGCAGGGCTTGGTGAAAATGTCTCCCCAGGACAGACTGAGCTTTGATGTCTTCTGTCAAGGCAGAAAGTGCAGCTTCTTGGCACACTGCAACTACCTGCAAACAACGGCATGATTCAAACGTCTACAATTCATCCTAATTTCTCTTAACTTACAAAGAAAAAACTACTCTTCTTTTCACTACCAAAAACCCACAAGTTTTGGAAAAGGTGGGACATTACGTCTTCCATGGCTTACATGTTCAAGAAGTCAAAACATTCAGACATAGTTTTAGACATAGTTTCAGACAATTACCTTTTATTATGTAGATTTGGAAGTTATTATGGCTTCACCAGACCACGAAGTGGTCTGGTGAAACCATATTGTTTTCTCTGATGTTTCTTCTCCTCCTTCTCCTTCTCCTGCCATTTTTTAAAATGGATTCAGCTTCTTCATTTTGGGGCCTAAGGATCTGAAATTTGGTATGGAGGTACAGTGGGCAAATACCCTTAGGCGTTTTTTAAATTTTTGTGATACAGGCTTTTAGAATGGTTTTATTTGAGTTTTTTGGCTGTATTATAGCAAATGTATTACTGTGTCAGTGGGCAGTGTTAACAACATTTGTCATGAGTCATCACAATGGAATGCAGGGCATCAACGAATAGGCATGCAGCTTTCCTCTCTTCTTCTTGCTGATTGGCTGTTGGGATTTAACTTGATTAACACCTGCACAGACCATTTCCACCTGCACAGAGCATTTCTTGCTGA